GGAGAGGAAAGATGGTGGCTCGGACCGTCTTGGAGGTGCGGATGTCCATGGCGGGGGACTTGATTTCCGTGTCCCCGAACTGCATGCTGGGGCGGGTCTCGCGTCGTCCGCGGGCCGGGCTGCCGGCATCGCCCAGCGCCTCCAGCTCCAGGCTGATGGTGCCGCACTTGCGCACGCCGGGGCGGGCCGGGCTGCCGGCATCGCCCAGCGCCTCCAGCTCCAGGCTGATGGTGCCGCACTTGCGCACGCCGGGGTCGGTGATGTAGACCACGTCGTCGGTGGCGCAGCAGTAGATGTTGATGATGGTCTTGCGCTTGCCCCTCCCGGCCCGGGCTGTGCTGGCCACATCAAGCTCTGCCGCTCGGGGGACACCAGCTGCGAGGGCGACGTGCAATATATGTTAAAAATAGAAATGTGGGTTTACAGAAAGCGTGTGCATTGGTATTCTCGGGAGCTGTGGGGTGCTGCGGGCTCCGGCAGTGGCCTTACCCGTACTTGGGGGGCAGCCTGAGCCCCCGGCCCCCGCCTGGCCGGGCAGCGCTGCTCCTGTCTCGCTCAGCGATGCCGGGGATGCAGTCACCCTTTCTGCCGGTCGGACCCTGACCCATTTCTGTGGGCGATGCAGGCCCCGGTGCCGCGCTGCCCGGCTGCGCGTGGGGAGCATCTCGGGGGTGTCCCATGAGAAGGGGGGGCTACCAGCATGGTTGCAGCGGGGTCCGGTGGCAGCCTCGCAGCTCAGCCGGGGGCAGTAGATGTTGATGATGGTCTTGCGCTGGCCCGGCCGGGCCGGGCAGTAGCTGCGTTGGACCACCTCCCCCAGCGCCACGGACTGGTCGACGGAGACGAACTTCTCGAAGATGTCGGTGCACCAGTTCTTGCCCTCCTTCACCAACAACTTCTCCCGCGGGTGCTTCCCCTCCACGAACTTGTTGAGCACCCCCACGCCGTAGGTCAGGGGGGAGCGGCGGACGCGGACGATGGTGGGGTCGAGGCCGAAGAGCACGGCCCCTTTGAGGATGGTCAGCCCCACGTCTTGGGGGATGATGACGCGGCAGGTGGGGCCGAAGGCCGCCTGGACGGCGTGCTGCAGCATGGCCGACTCCGCGAAGCCCCCCACCAGGAAGAGAAACTTGATGCCTTGGACCTCCGGCTTCTTCAGGAGGTCGTCTGGGGAGGGAGGGGGGGCGTTGGGCAGGGCTGGGGGCTGCCTGTGCTCCTCTACCCCTGCCC